CGTTGCCGCGCCGCCCGCGGAGGAGGCCATGAACGTCGATGCACCCGGCAACTTCGGCGCGCCGTGGGTGTGCACGTGCGAACTCATCCCGTGCCTGTGCGACCCCGGGGGCGAGCGATTCTTCGCGGCCGGAAACGAGCCCTCCTAATTCGCCATGGCATGCGCAGCACGAGCGCGTGCTCGCGGGCCTCGCCCCCCGCGCGCGCGCCAAGTTGCATTTCCAATCTTTCATGTTGCATAGCTGCCACAAGAGTTTGGTCAGCAAAATATGGGCGCGCAAAAACACGCGATAACGACCACAACAAACTCCCGCAAACACGCGATATAACGACCACAACACACCGCAACAACACACGCGAAAAAAACGCACACACAATGTCCACAACACAAACCCCCTCCGCGACCTTCACGCAGATGTTTTTCTTCAGCGTCAAGGTCACGGTGGGCGTCGGCGCCCTGGCCCTGCCGCAGCAGGTCGCCGCCGTCGGCTACGTCTGGAGCGCGGTCATGCTCTTCCTCGTGGGCGTCGCGATCTGGTGGGGCTCGGCCGCGCTGCTTCGGGCGAAGCGCGCGGTCGAGGAGAGCGGCACGCCCGTGGTCACGTACCAGGACGTCGCGCGGGGCGTGCTCGGCGTCGAGGGCCAGCGCGTCGTGGAGGTGTCCATCGTGGCCTTCCAGCTCGGCGTCTGCTGCGTCTACTTTTACTTCATCGCCGACGAATTGGCGGACCTCTTCCCGGCGTCGTCGGGCGGCCTGACGCGCGTCGAGTGGATCCTCGTGCTCTACCCGCCCGTCGCGGTCGTGTCGTGCCTGCGCTACCTGCGGGACATGGCGGACGTCGCCAAGGTCGCGTTCTTCTGCTACGCGGTCGGCGTCCTCGGCACGCTGGGGTACTGCGTCGTCCGCGTCGAGCGGCGCGGCGTCGTGCCGCGGTCGGAGCAGACGACGGCGGCGGACATCTTCTCCCTCTTCGCGACGCTGCTCTACGCCTTCGAGGGCATGC